CTGCTAACACGTGCAGATCCCAAAATATTTCTCTGTTCATTCGTATTTGAGCTGGGGAGATGAGATGAGAGGGATCCGGCTCCCGGGCAACAGATGGAAGGATGGACAGATCCTGCACTGGGTTTGGCAGGGCATGAAGTTGCCCTTCTGGGGATGTGCTGCTAGGACTGGGTACGGTCTCGTTCTTGGCACTCGTGGTTTAGGAGGATGTGGAGCAAGGGTGGGTTTTCCTTGGGTGCGCATCCAACCCCTCTCTGGGAAGCTGGGACTGGGGATGAGCTGGGCTGGCAGCCTGGATGGTGAGAGGGTCAGTTCTCCATCGCTGTGTCCATCCTTGTCTCTCCTGTGTGGAGAGACCTGTTGGATGTGTGGTGATGTTCTCTTCCAGACTGAGCTGCTCTGGTGGCATTAGGACTCGGCTGGGCTGTTGGATTTGGCACTGGATTTGATCCATGACTTCCTAATGCCAGATTTGAGCCCCCCAAGCTCTCGTGGGAGCTGGGCAGAGCCCAGTGACTGGTGTGTGCTGGGTCTGTGCTGGCACTCTGCTGTTGTGAGCCAGCCCAGCCCTGCAGCCGCTGCAGTGAATGCCTCCGGGTTGGGGAAATAATGGGAGATCGGGACCCTCCTGGGCTCTGCGAGCAGCCGCTTTCTGCCCCTCCTGGCTGCTCTGCCGAAGGCGGCTCCCTGGAGAAGCGGGGAGGGCTCAGACGCTGCTCCAGCTTCGGGTTGAATTTCTGGCTCTCCTCAGGGCAGGGTGACTCTTACCCCAAACCAGGAGAGTTCAGTGGGGTGACACTGAGGACACCGCAAGCACTGGGTCTGCTTGTGGAGAGCGTTTTGCGCTGTGAAGGGAAAGGCACAGCTGTGCCGCAGCTGGCAGGGCGAGCGGTGTGTGCACAGAGGCGGTTCCCTCTGCCCTGGCTGCCCCCCGACTCCTCTCTCTCTCCCCCATCTCCCACCGCCCGCGGTTCTGTGCGAGCCAAACTCCACCTGCCCCCTCCGCAGGACCCCTCTGTGCCTCGTTCCCCCAGCCGGGGCTGCCGGGCACGAAATCCTGGCGATGCCCGTTCACCCCCAGCCGAGAGGGCACTGACGGGAGAGAGGACGCGGGAGGATCTTTAGGGTCAAACTCTTTGGCATCAGCACCACCGCCTGTAAGGTCGGGCAGCGCTGGTTGGACCGCGCTGGGGGCGCAGCCGGGGAGGGGACAGGCGCTGACATGGGAGCGGTGCTCGCGGCTGGGCTGGGGGGTCTGGCGGTGGCAGCTGAGCTCCCCCAGATTTTGGGTCCTCCACCCTGCTCCAGCCCATCTGTTCTGCATCTGTCCCCGGAGACACGGACCGGAGGGGTGGGGGGCGAGGTGTGGTGGGTGCCCACCGGGGTGTGTGGGGGGCACAACCCTTTTCCCCCCGAGCACCCAGGGGGTTCAGCCGAGTTGCGAAGGGATCAAAACATTTTGTGCCTGGGAGACGAGGAGCTTGTGCGAGAGTGAGGATGGGCTTGTGTTGGGGGGTGCAACCTTCCCCTGTCACCTCCCTTCTAGCCTGAATGCTTCTGCCATCATGATTAATTTATCAGGTACTTATGAATATGCAGATGAGACTCTGGTTTCCAGGCTCTGCTTTCAGGAGAGGCTGTGATGGGCTTTCTGCTGCTGCCGCCTTCGTAAGAAGAGAAATGTCATGTACCAGGGTTTAAAATAAATAAATAACTGCGCCACCGAGAGCGCGTGAGTCTTCGCGGCTCCGCGGAGCTGTGGGATCTCCTCGTTCCTCAGTGACGGGGATTTTTGAGTGTCCCTGTGGCATATGCACCCCGACACCCCCTCCCTGTGTGTGTACCGGTGATGCAGAGGCGGCTTTGCCTTTGAAACCTTGAGTGAAGCCCCAGAAACTTCCACTGCGAACGCGGGCGAGGGTTGGTTCCCCCGGGAGAGGGGAGGTTAGGAGGGATGGGTGCGCCTGGATGAGATCCTGAAGGAACGGGGTGTTCTGCTGGTGATGGTCCCTTTACCCACTGGAAATCCCAAGGTCTGGGAGATGGGGAACGGTTTGGGAGGGTGATGGCTGTGTGCATGTGGCTATTGGGCTAAAGGAAGCTCTGCCCCTCTCCGGCTGGGCTGCCTGGAGCTGGGGCTGTGGGACAGGGTTTGGGTTTGGGATTCAGCGCCCGGCTGTGCTGACCTATGGGCGCCCGCAGAGGCACCTAGATTTTAAAACTTCCCCCAAATATTGCGTGCAGCAGCCAGGGCTGTGGATGCAGGAGCGGCTGCTTCTGCTAATCCCACGGCCGGGGCCCCTCTCCAGCTGCCTCCGTGCCGGGAAGCTGCGGCTCCCGGGACGGTGGAGCGGGATGGGGCCGGGTGAGGCCCCGGGGGTCCGGGGCCCTGGGCAGGGAGGGGGCTTCTCACGGCCCCAGGGGTGAATCCCCCCTGCTCAAACCAGCCAGCTCCTGGGTTTGGCAGAGCGCTTGTGCGCTCAGCGGTGCTCCCGCAATGCTGCTGCGCCTGGGCAGGGGGTTACGTGGTTTATATGTTTAATTGCAATTTTTTTGGGGGGGGTGCGGGGAGTTATTTGGAGGAGCGGCAGGGTAGGGGAGCGGGGCTCAGCTCCACAGTGGGAGCAGGACGAGGGGCAGCAGCACCGGGGGTGGGGGGCGGGTAGGGTGGCCGACCCTGTCCCTTCCTCTGCCCCACGGGGGGGTCGCGGCCACCCGCGTCCCCCGCGGTGCCCCCGGCCCCGCACAGCGCTGCGGGTCCCGCGGCGGGCACCAGGCGGCGCTGCGGGCGCGGGGCGTGGAGCGGGGGGCGCAGCCCGGGCTGGGGGGCTCCGCGCTCCGGCTCCTCCGCACCGCGAACCCCCCACCTCCAACCCCCGCCCCGCTCCGCCATCCCATGTGTGCGGTTTCTCGCCCCCTGGAGAGGGGGAAGGTTGAGCTCCCTCGGTGATGCGCGGGGTTGGGAGGGGGAGGGTTGTCCGTGGGTTGGTTTGGGGAGCTCTTGAGGATGCCGGGGGGGGTGCTGGAGGTGCGGGAGTAGAGGGGTGATCTGGCTGTGGCATTTGCGCTGAGCGTTGGGAACTGAGCGTTATGCACGGGGTTAAAAAAAATAATAATTCTCCCCTCCCGAGGTGGTCGGGGGGAGTTTGGGGGAGTGCGGAGCGGCCCCGGCTCGTTCCTGTGGGGTAAAGGAGGGGAGGGGATAAATACACACACATACACAAAAAAAAGGAGGGGGGGGGCGGGTGGAAGGAAAACCCGCCCGCACCACCCAGCGGCCCCGCGCGGGGATAACAAACTCCAACTCAAAAAAAACTTCCCGAGCGCGTCGGGGGGCGCGGAGGCGGCGGCGCTGCCCAGGTGCGGGTCGGGGCAGGGCCGGGGGGTCCCATCGCCTCCCCCCGCCCGACCCCGGCCCCTTCCCCACCGGTCCCTTCCCCACCTGGGACTTGCTTTGCGCGGCACCGCCAGACCCAAGGGGGGGCTTTTGTTGCGTCCTGGCAGCCTGGGGGGCTGCGGGTGTGTGCGGGGGAGAGGGTGAAGCTGGAGGGTGTTGGGGAGGGGATAAAGGGGGTTTGCTGGGGCTGGGGGGTGGGAGCCTCGGCAAAGGCTCCCCCGTGCAGAGGGGAAGCGGTGGCTCAGGAGAGGGGGCTTCCTCGGGCTGCGGGGTGAAGGAAAGCGAGGGCACAGCAACTTTATAATCGACTTTTTATTAAGATTATAAATTTAAACAAATCTGAACAGTTTTACCCGGTGATATACAATTCCATATGCACAAAAATACAAGCTTACAAACAAAGAAAAAGAGGAGGAAAAAAAAAAAAGACCCCAACAGACCGTTTGGCAAAGCATCCTCAGTTACACACAGTGCTGATACCGTGAAGTTGGGAGTGGGGAAAAAAAAAAAATAGAGGAGGGGACGACGACCAGAAAACCCACCTTTTTACAACAAAAGGTTTTTTTTTTTTTTTTTTTTTTCCAAATAATGTAAAAAAAAAAATCAAGAGACTCTACAGGAGACAGATTTCTTCACAAGACCAAACAATGCTGGTTTTATGATTGGGAAGGCTGAAACCAGAACAGTTGAACTTAAAAAAAAAAAAAAAATAGAAGAGGGGAGAAAAAAAAAAGTCAGACACACACACTGGAGACGTGAGTCGTGTTACACGGTTACCTGCGGCATCACAAGCACACACCGAGGCGGAGACTCGGGGCTGCCCGGGGACTGCTCGCCCCCTCCCCGGCGGGGCACAGCCCGGAGGGACCCCCGGCCTTTGCTTTATCCCCCTCCCACCCCCCCAAAATTCAGCTCTCGGAACCCTCCAGCGCTCCCCTGGCACAAGCGGTGGGAAGAAGTCACATCGCACACGTTTCTTCTGGGAGGAAAGTTGAAATGTTTGCATTTCTGTCTTTTTTTCCTCCCCTTTCTTTCTTTTAAACAGATAAAGAAACGCACAAAAGCGAAGGGGCAGGGGCTGCTTTCCCCTGCCCGCACCCCGAAACCCGCCGGGCCGGGGGCGGCAGGACCCGCGGGGCGGCCCGGGGCGGGGAGCGGGGCCGAGGCGCTCCCGCCGCGGGGTCCCGGGGCCGGTACCGGCTCTCACGTGGCTCTACCGGCCGCCAGCACCGGCCCCGGGAAACCCGCCGCGAAGAGAACCCGAGCGGACACAAAGAGGATTATTTAAATAGGTGCTTCGTTGTTGTTTTTTGTTTTGTTTTCGTTTGTTTGCTTGGCTTTTTTTTGTTGTTGTTGTTTGTTGTTTTTTTTTTTCTCTCTCATCTCTGCAAAAATAAAGTCCCAAGGTCTTAGCTTTTTTTTTCTTTATTGTACAATTTATAAAACACTAGCGTGGCTCTGCCCTCCCGCCTCCCCTGCGCACCCCTCGACACCCCCACCCCCCTCCCCTCGCCCCAACCCCCTCCCCGCCTTTGTTTCAGGGTCCCCTCCGGAGCCGCCGTTCCTCGGATCGCACCCCCGTTTTGCCAACATCCCCCCCGCCCCCTCTGCTCCCCCGCTCCTCTCTAAAACGCGACGATGGCCCGAGTCCAGGCTCCCAGGCTCGCCAGCGCCTGCTTGCTGCACAGCTGCCCGTTGAGGGGCTGCTCCGAGTCCGCCTGCTGCCGGCTCACCAGCCCCGTGAAACCGGAGCCGAAGATGGAGATCAAGTTGGAGATGTTGGAAGAGTCCTGGGGGTGCTCGGCGCTGTACTCCTCGAAGCGGGCGCGTTTGGTGCACGGGGCGAAGGGGGGGCCGCCCGCCACCCCGCCTCCCCCCGGCTCCCCTTCCTCCACCCCTCCTCTTCCTCCTCCTGCCCCGGGTAATACTTGCGCTTGGTGCCGGGCGCGGGCGGCGGGGAGGCGAGCCCCGGTGCCGACTGGCAGCAGCAGGGGCACTGCGAGCAGCAGTCCTGGTGCAAGTACCCGTTCTCCACCGTGGTCACGACGTGAGTGTCCAAATCCAGCACCGTGGTGCGGCTGCTACAGTGCGGGGCCCCGCCGCTCCCGAAGTCACAGCCGGCGGCGTAGAGCAGCCCCGGGGCCGCGCCTCCGCCACCGGGACCGGCGCTGCCGGGGGCCCGGTAGAAGCCGGGGGACGAGTCTCTGCAGGGCGCTCGCTGGAGCTCCGGGGGCGCCGCGCACACCGGCACCTCCAGCAGCTCCGCGCCGCCCCGCGCAGCCCCGCAGCTCCGCGCCTCGCGGTCCTGCGTGTCGGCGGGCAGCGGGAGCGCCGCCAGCTCCGGCGGGGCGGCGGCGGCGGGCGGCGGGCAGGCGGGCATGGCGAGGAGCGGGGCGCCGTCGGGGTAGTGCTGCTGCTGGCGGCGGTAGAGCTCGGCGTAGCGCTCGCTCAGGTAGAGCTGCCGGGCGTTGCGGAGCACATAGGAGACGAGCAGGTTCTTGTGGAGCTTGATGCCGCCTCGCTGCGTGCGGGAGCTGTGGATCTTCCGCAGGGAAATACTGATCAAACTCTGCGCATCGAGGGTGCACTCCATCCTCCTCCGGCCCCTCAGCATCGGCTCTCGCCGCCCGCGCAGCCAGGCACCCCGGCCCGCATCCACACGGCAGCCGGGCGGGTGCGGAGGGTCGCAAGGAAAGGAGGATAAAGAGGCTGGGAAGGGAGGGGGGAGGAATAAAGGGAGGGGGAAAGGAAGGAAGGGGGAAAAGGGGGCGCAGAGCCTGAGGTCGCTGGAGAAGGGAGGCAAGAGAGAGGGTGTCTTCAGGGGCGGCCAGCGGCGGGCGCAGCGCGGGCATCGCCGGGGGCTCCCGCTGCTGCCGCCGCCGCCGCCGCGCTCCGAGCACGGACGGCGCGGGCGGGCAGCGCCACCAGCGCCGCGCGCGCCCGCCCCGCCCCTCCCCGCGCGGCCCCGCCCCCGACCGCCCTGCCCCACCCTCCCCGCGCGCTCCCGCCCGCCCCGCCCACCCGCGCGCGCCGGCCCCGCCCCCGCCCGCCCGCGAGCCCGCCCGTACCTGTCGCGCACGGGGCACTGAGCGCCCGCCCGCGCGGGCCCCGCCTTTATACCGCCGAGCCGGGCCCCGCGCTCCGCCCCCGCGCCGGGCGCGCCCAATGGGCGGGCGGGGAGCGGCTTGACGGGCGGGCGGCGCGGCCAATGGGGCGAGGCGGGCGCCTGGCGCCGTTCAAACGGTGGCGGAGCGCGGCGCGGCGCGGGGGCGGGGGAGCGGGGTGAGGGTCCCGGCGGGTCCCGGGGGCGCCGGGGGTCCCGCCCGAGCGGCGGTGGGGCCGCGGCCGCGCCTCCCCGCTCCGCTCCCCTCGCACAGGTGAGCGGGGGGGCGGTGCCCGCCCCGGTGGGCGGCCCCCGAGCGGCCGTGGGGGCGGGGGCGCGGCACGGTCCGCCCCGCCCCGCTCTTCGGGTACCCCCTGCCCCGCTCTGTGACACCCCTGTCCCCAGCGGGACCCCCGGTGGTACCGGCATCCTCAGCACCCTCTGTGAATGCCCTCCCCGGGGTGCTGGGGGCTGCCCCGCTCCTCTTTGGGCTGTTCCAGCCCCGGGCGTTCCACGTTCAGGTGCTGGGGACACCCCAGCCCCGCCGGGTCCCCCCTGGGGGACATCCCCTTCTTCTGCTTGGAGAGCTCCCACCGTGACTCTCTCCGGGAGTCGGGGCTTTCCCTCGACAAGGGGGCAGGACCGCGCGTCAGTCACTGCTCACGAAGTGCCCCAATCACACCTGATTTTCCCCCAAAGCCGGAGCTGGACTTTTCACGGGTTGTTGCTAATTAAGGACTCACCTGAATTCATTAAGAGCCCACTCTGGCACCTCCCATCCCACACAGCTGTGTTGGCTCTGCAGGGCAGCGCGGCCCCTGTTCCCCTCACAAGGGGATGTGATGGGAGCAGGCTAGGCTGGCTCCTGGGGAGCTCAGGGATGAGTTTAGGGGGTGAAAGGGCTCAGGGCTGTCCCCACTCTTATTGCTGGAAAGACCTGGTCACCGAGACACCCACCTGCCTGCCCAGGGAGCAGTGGCACTCAGGGAAGCTCGTGTCACCACGGAGCTGCAGCCCTTGGCCAGCAGGTAAGAGCTAGGGGTTCTGGGGGCAGGGACGTGCAGTGTTTGGGTGGGAGAAGGAACCATGAGCTCGGGAGCCAGGAAGGGACTGCAGCGCCGGGATAATGGGAGCTACTTATGAAAAAGCATCTTCTCTAGAAAGCACAAGTCAGAGGACAGAGGAAGGGGTTTCCCCTGACTGCAGAGGTCCCCCAGCCTGGGTGCCTGCCTTGGGGGTGGCTGCAGGCAGCCTCATGTCTGCAGGTTGTGGAGAACCCAGTGGAAAGAAAACCTCTGCAGAGCCAGAGCCTTTCTCCTCCTGGTGCAGCCCAACCTCCAAACTACAGGGGCAGGGATACAAGGGGGTCACTTGGATCATCAGCAGTGGGTGAGGGCACCATGCCAAGCCTGTGCTGTGGGGGGATGCTCAGAGGGCTTTTCTTGCCTCCTGGCTTGGCTGGCCTCTGCTACCTCGCCTTGACTATGTCCTCCACCCAAGGGAATGGGAGCAGACCCAGCAGCAGGGAGGATTCTGTCCCTGTGGAAGGGCAGTTGGGGCAGCTTGTTGCCCTCTGAGCAGCAGCTGGCTAAGTCCTTCTTGCTCGTGCAGGAGCCTTCTCCACAGTCTGCCTTCAGCCACGCAAACTGGGGTGAATGACACTCTGTGCATTCCCAAGCTCTTATAGGATGCTCTTGACCTGCTTTCCTTGCTTGTACTGTGGGAAGTGATCACAGATCTGTCCAGAGGGGTGGCTGTAGCCCAAGGCAGTGAGTATAGGCAGTGTTGGAGATGGGGGATTGTGCTGTGTCCTCCTCTCCTCCACTAGCCTCTCTCCCTTGCAGTTCTTCTTGGTTGCAGGTTGGCTTTTCCAAGGCTGTGGCTGCACAGCAGTTGGAGGTCCAGGAGGTGATAATTGGAGCTGGTCTGTGCAGATACTATGGGGTGCAGCAGGACTGAGGTTTGACCATGTCACACAGACCAGTGCTGAGCTTTGGGTGCCTTGGTAGCTGGAGCCAGGCCTTGCTCCTGCCCAGCAACATCCAAAGCTCTGCCATCATGGAGTGCTGGGGTTGGTGCTTGTGGACTGAGCCCCAGCTGCAGCTCTGCAGCATTTTCTGTGGCCTCATGGACACTGGGGAACCAGGGCAGTGAGTGCTGCTGCTGCTGCCAGTCTGTGCCACATCCTCCACCCAGACAGCGCAGGCAGCGATTGCCTCTCTTGCTCAGCTGGTGTTTGCTGCTCTCTGGGCCATCTCCAGCTGTAAAACTCCAGCCTAGGTGGTCCAGGTTAAGAGCCTGAATTGCCCGTTGGCCAGCTGAGGTGGGGTGGCTTGGGCAGGGCAGATAGTGCCAGCCACAAAGACACCCTCTGCCTCCAGCTCCTGCTCACCATCCCGCCTCCAACTCGCAGCGTGGCTTCAGGACACTGCCCAGTACCATCCCTCTGCTCTTTATTCATCATCTAGCCCCACTGGCCTCTGGTCATGGCTTTCAGTGAAGGGTCAGGTGGACTTTGCAGGGCCCAGCTTGCAGCAGTGCCGGGTTTAGGGATGTGCAGAGGGTGGTGCATCCTCAGGGCTGGCCGGGCATCGCTGGGCAGCCCTGATGCGGGAGCTGCTGCTGTCTCCGGCTGTCAGAGAAGTGCCCTCTGCTGTAACTGCCTGAGAAGCTTCGTGGCACCAGGAAAAACCCGAGAGCACAGCAGGAGCCTCTAGGAGATGAAGACGGAATTAAAACTTTAATCTTATTTAGACTCTGGGTAATTAATATAAAGGCTATAAAACACGGGCCTGATCCTCACGCTGACTTCCGGGCACGGTGCTCTGGATGGCGAGGCTGTGGCAGCTGCAGGCTGGCTCTCCTCCCCGGCTGCCTCTCCTGGCAGGTGCCAGGGTTTTGTTTGCAGACACGGTGGCTTTAATCCCGGAGCTCGGGACGGGCTGTGGGCTGTGAGAGCTGCCCTGCTTCAGTTTGGCCCGTGGACTCCGAAATCTCCCAGAGACAGGAATCTGGCTGATACCTGTCTTGGCACATGGCTGCAAGCTCTGCTTTTCTAAAGAGGATAACGAGTCCTGTCCGTTTTCTGGCTCTGCAGCAGCAAGCTGGGGCAGGATGGGTTTGGTGCCTTGTCTTTCACAGGAAAACTGCTGCGTTCTGTCCAGCATCCCTATTCCCTGGTCTCCTCTGGGGTTTGTGTGCCCTTCCCATGGAAAGGGCCCTAAGGACCCTACTGCTGTAGTGGATGGTTCATGTAAAACCATCTCAGCTAAATGTAATTGTAGCTTTTAACTGGCCTTTAAATGGTGAGAACCATTACTTCCCCAAAGGGGAAGAGGGTAGGTCCAGGATTTGCTCTCTGGAGGGCTGTAGCTGCACGTTTTCTGGTGTAGATGATGCTGTTCCCGTGAGGTGGGTGCTGTGGGGCTGGCCCTGGGCTGGGCATGGTGCAGCTGTACCACAGCTGGTCCAGCCCTGCTGATGTCCCGGTGCCAGGGCCAGTTTCGCAGCCGTCGATCCTGCAGTGGCTCCAGCAGCAAGACCTGGCGGTCCCCTGCTCTCAGCTGCAGAGTAAACAAGCTGGCAAGAGAAACCATTTTGCTTCAGCTAGTAGGAGAAACCCTTTTTAGGTAGCACTTCCAACTGGCAATGCTCTCCTTCATTAACCCCCTCCTTCCCTTTCCAATGAAACGTGAATTTGCAGCGATTGGAGATCAGGCACTTGCCAGTGCAGCTTTGCCACCCAGAGCAACGAACACAGACGTGAATTTACTGCTTGATCTCATAATTTCAGTGCAATTAGACTGGCTGCTATAAAGCAATTTCCCCTTGAGCCTCGGAGTCCTGGGCCTGGGCACTGCCCAGCTTTTCTCAGATGAGGAAGCAGAGACCTTTGGGTACTGGCTGAAACACGGGTTTTTTTGGGTGCACCTGGAACTTGACTCCCTGGAGACGCGTCTATGAGCTGGAGCTGCGGGTGCCTGGCATGTCTGAAAAGGAGCCTGCTTTTCAGGCTTACTTATTACAAGTCAGGCACCCAAAGCTAGGGGGAAAACAAGCCAGAACAAGGTTTTCAGGCTGAGCTCTGGGAGCAGGGCTGGCCTCTGCCACCTCCTCCTATGTGCTGGGCAGGTGCAATGTTGCTGCTCCCCATCTTGGGGGGAGCTGTAAGACAGACCCACAGGTTCTGCTGCAGCACATGGGGAAGGGGGCACGTTGGCTCCAGGAGCCAGCAGCCCTGAGAGCAGCAGATCCATCTGTATTGATCGAGTGGGCTGTGGGTAAGGCTGTCACCTCGCTGTCGTAGCTGTTAGCTCTTTCTCACAGCTCTGGTATCACAGTCAAATACTTTGTATAAAATCCTGGAGAAAACAGGGATGTGACCATACTGAAAAATCACCCATTTAATTATTTTCTTCTCCGTGCTTTTAGCTGGGGGGCTGTGTAATGCCCCCCAAGCATCACCGTGGCACTGGGCATGGATGAAACGCTCAGTACTTTGATCCTAAACTCACTGACTCATTTCCTACATTTCTTGTACCCTGGGCACTGCTGTGCAGGGTATGGGTGCTTCCATGAACATCTCTGCTCCACGGCCTCTCGCTTCTGCCTGGCCAAGCACTTGTGCCCAAGGTGGTGCTTACAAACCCTCCCAGTGCCTTCCGTGCTCTTTCCTAAAGATTTGGGAGGTTCCCTTGGGTGGGAATTGCATGATTCTTGTTTTGATTAATGCCAGGAGGGTGGAATTGAGGACGTGATTGCTACCAGGATCTTACTGCTGATTCTCTCTTCAGTG